AATTTACCTTAAACGTCTTCAAGCTTCTATCTTTTTCTGTTTTTTACTTCTTCATTTTATATTAGGATACCAAACAAGGTATTGTCAACATTGTCTGATCAGTCTTCAGCAAAATAAGTGGGTTTTTACCCTCTGGTTACCCCCAAAGACGCAAAGGATTATGGGGATGTTAAAGTCGAGAATGGTTTTGTACACTTTTAAGTTATTTCCCTTCAGAACACTTGTCGTAAATTACACTGCAAAATGTAACGCATTATTGAATTTACGTCATCTCATTTGCATATTGATGTTTCAAATGTTTATATATCCGAAAAGAGAAGACCACATACAAAAATACTGCAACCATACCAAAAGTGATTTTGAAAATATTTTTTCCTTGATATACACTCTAAATCATGCTAGTTTCTTGATATTGTACCGCGTGTGTGCATGTCTATCTCTACTCATCTATGTCAGAGTATTTTTGCTGCTATATACATATTATTCAGTATGCAGGAAGTTCTAAAACACTGTCTATCCACGCATGCGCAACCAACACTTCCGCAGGCCATACTTTCAACATTCAAACACTTACGGATGAAGGACTGCCAAGGGAAACTTGTGCTTTTTGCCAATCATTTCTGTTATTTTGTTTCGCAGACCAATATTTCGCTGCTCTAGGCGTATTTGATGCTTTAGACACATATAATAGACCTTTGCCAGTCCCACGCATGTGATACATAAAACGCAAACATCTATACACTGAAAGAATATGTGGCGATTTGATGACACTATATCTGCCACTGCTGTGTGGTGACGATGCTTCCATGTAGATGTATGAACCTGCAGGTAATAATAATGAAAACTTTATTGAGTTTTTCCCCGAAATACAATCGTAAATCTCGCTACGTATAGGTAATTTACAATTTGCTACTTGAATCGAATACAAAATGTGACAAATGACAAAAAGAAAAGAAAAGAAAAGAAATAATGATAATAATAATAATAATGATGATGATGATGATGATGATAATAAGTACAGGTAATAACCCGGTTTCGAGTTCAATTCGGGATTAATTTGCACTGCTCTAAGCCATTCAGAATTGAGTGATTTTTTTATTTATGTTATTATAATAAGTAAGAGTAATAAAAAAATAAAAAGAACAACAACAATAAACATTTCATTCTCGAATATAGATTAACGGCTGAATCAAAAACGCATGATATTTTACACAAAATCCAAGCTATACATGAGCAACTGAAAACTCGAAACTGGAGTATGGACCTTTCTCGCGCGGTAGCCATGTTGCCTGAAACAATAGATTTTTTCCCCGCATACAAGTGCTTCAAAATGTGGTCACGCGAGTTTTAACAAAAGTTTTTATTCTCTTAGGAATAAACCTGGTACCATGTAGTTTTAAAGTGCAAATGAATAGCGCAGCGCGCTCATTCTAAAAATAGCTTAAAGATTCGTACACACATTGCATTCTGTTTAACCGCTACGAGGATTATTCGAACCGATTTTATTATTTTTACTTAAAGTTACAATAATAACCCATGTAAACTAAGATCAACTGCGATCGGCTGTGAAAATTATCTGCTGAAAGTAAACTTGTAAGTTTGTTTGTCCGAATTTCGCCTTTGTCTTCGTTTTTATGACGTCACGGCTGCGCTGCGCTATTGAACCCTTCGACAATAGGTTGCTATCAATAGACGTCATTTCCGGTAATAGCTCTTTTTTGATGGATTGTAGAATCCTGGAGGTTGTTTTGAGCTCTTTTTTTCTGATTTGATGTCGTGAAAATAGTCAAATACAATAGTCTATTAAGGCTTAATTAAATATACAAAATCGAACTGGTTCATAGAAAAAGTATTTAAAAAGCATCATTATTTCATACTCATGGTTTACATGAAAGCTATTTAAAATTTTTATTTTCAAAATGGCCAGCATTTAGTATCAATAGTTACAACAAAAACACTCAAATACCTTACTTGACGTCATCATCATTAACATATTGGAAGTATAAACCTTCATGACTTAGAGACGTATCTCTCAAATCAAGAAATATTTTACCAATCAACTATTTACTTTATGCAGAACCAGTACTGAAAGTATTGTCAAAGGTTTCATTTGCACTTTAAGGTTCACGCGATAAAAAACGCCTGTGACTTACCCAGAGGATTCATTGATGTGTGGTCAGCACAGGGTCCGGTACCAACGCTAGGCGTGCATCCGGACTTGCGTTTCCAACTATAATAAGGATCCGGTACGCTTTTCACGTGTCGATCTGTCGGCTTGCTCCAACATTGAATATCATCGTCAAAGGTGAAATTATCTATCGAATATAATTTTTTAAATCGAGTTATAACGCGCACTCTGATTGGCCGAATACTAGTTTAGATTAGAATATCTAAGAATGATGCTCTCAATAAGCTTTTTCATAGTTTAAGAATCGATTCCACTGCGCATGCAATTTTATCCCGAATTTCTCACCTTCTTTTGTCTAAACCTTCTTTTGTCCTTAATTAAACAAAAGAAGGTGAGAAATTCGGGATAAAATCGCATGCGCAGTGGAATCGATTCTTAAACTATGAAAAGGCTTATTGAATACCCTTTCATACTTTCGTAAGCGTGTGCACTTATTATTAGTAAAAGCCAGATATAAAATAGTTAACTTTTTATAGATACTCTAATCTAAACATTTGGGATGCCGAGGAGACACTTGAGAGAATAACCAGGGAAGCCTTTGGCACGCTGATTAAGATAGTGATTCTCTAGTTATCTGATGTAGCCATGTTACTATCACTCCAGAGACGTACACTATCAGAGTGTAAGCCGAAAGTTTCTGTACTAAAAAATGATATGGAAATCATGGTTCGGAAGATCATCGGAAAGAAATCAAAAATTGACAGGCTCTTAAAGAGTACTGAAATTTAAGAGAATATGGTTCTACTGGATTCCTGGACTCAATAATTCATGATAGTATTTAATTTGTTTGATTGGTCTCTTCCATGACTCAAGGGTTTTTGTCCAGTTTTTCTCCCTCCCTAAGACACGCTAAATTCTGATTCTGTTTGTGACATAGACGTTATTTCAGGGTTCGATCTGTGAGTTAGCCGTGCCCTGACTTTGATCAGCCCTTAGGTTGTTTCAGGGTTCAATCTGTGAGTTAGCCGTGCCCTGTCTTAGATCATGCAGGCGCCCAGAGGTTGTTTCAGGGTTCGATAAAATTCCATAGTACAATTCTACGATTGCCTTACCGTAGTTATAAACATCTTGGATGGCGTATGGCTGTAGTTCACTGAACCAAAGTCCAAGCCTTTTTATTCGGTCGTCAATATTTTGAGAATCTCCTGTAATGTAGCCTAAGTGCAAAGACGTACCGACCAAAGTATTGGCTGCGTGTTTGTACTTATCATTGGAAGCAGTCAGCCTTCCGTTCTCGTAATATCGCAAACCATTTGCAGGACTCCACGTGATGCATACATGCACCCATGTTCTTGGTGGCGGAGTGAATATAAGTTCCCAGTTCTTATCAGTCGTCTTGACAACGACTTTTTTTGCATTACCAAAATCAACAATGGAGAAACCTTTTTGATTTGAGTCTTCGGTTTTCAAGAATGTCTTTGAAACTGTAACAGAGACAGTAACAGATTGATAATTTTTCTTGCAGTATACTACATCATATTGTCAAATATAAAAAAATTAAAAATTCCTTGCAATGTACAACTTCGACGATACGGCGGCCATCTTGGATCACAAGGCATTATGAGACGTCCAGGGGGCAAATAAAGCTTCCATAAGAGAATACAACGAAAGATTAGTTCAGTAAGACGCCAAATCAGTCACCTTTACCCATAAGAGAAAGAACAACACACGAAGTTCTATATATTTTCCGTCTTCTTGGCAAGATGCCTGCCGTATCTTTGAAGTAGTCCCTTGCGCCGCACTGTGCACTGAAATCGAAATGTTAACAAATACTTTTCGGTTCAAGGCACGTCACATAATAACAACCATGTTGGTGGAATTCATCTAAATATTTTTCTATTATTTTCCTTTGTTAGAGTGCTTTTCATAAACACGTGAAACAAAGTGCACTAATTAAAAAGAATTGAGTGAAGTAGTACTAAATAATAAGCTAAAGTGTATTTCACGGCTTATAGAATCTTTTAGTTTGAGCGTAATGTTCCTCATCCCCAGACTACGTATCATACTCACTTGACGCAAATGACTTGATTTTCATCTCGACGTACGCGATAGACCTTAGAGGTCCCCAGTGGATGTGGAGTGCATCCCCTATATCTGGGCCGTATTCTGCATTAAGATTCGCAAGGCTACAGTTATGAAACCACCAGCCGCTGCCATACCTAATAAAACAACATCCATTCCAACAGATCTTAGGAATGGACTATTAAAAATAATTGAGGGGGGTGGGGTGGGGGGTTGCATAAGGGACCGGTCATTATTTACAGGGAGGGGGGCTGGTGGAAATGAGGTGGGACCAAACATTTTTGTGCACTAAAAATACAATACTTTCAGTGTTGATTCTACATAAAGTGAATAGTTGAATAGTATATCATTTTTACCGCCAAAGCAGCCATTCACCTCATACACGCGGTCAAATTTTGGGAACACGAGATTTACCGAGGCTGAGATTAAGCTAACGAACTGAACTGTTATAATGGAGAAACGTCGCCGAAGGGGAGGTGGGTGGGGTCAAAAATCCGTCTAGCACTGACTGGTACAGCGAACCTGAGCAAATGAGGTCGAAACCTTGGATTTTTTCGCTGCCGACCCGGGGGCTTCTCACCTAGGAATCACACCCAGAAAGCCATGATAACATTCCGCGCGTACTCGTTTCGTGGCTGCTTTAGGGGTGAAAAAAGTGTAATATTTCTTCATTTGAATGCTGCGTCTTTAAGTTATGAAGGTTTATACTTCCGTTTAGTTACTGACTGTTAAGAACATGCGTAATAAGTAAATTACGAGCCTTAGATGAAACGACTGAAGAAGAGTGCCATACAAGCCTTTCACAACTTCAAGTCGCGTAAAAAATGAGCCAGCTCAACTAGAAACTGATAGTTTTTGGGGTAATCGGGTATGGGAATCAAGTGGCTCCAATCGCAATCACAGCAATTAGCATACTGGTCATGCTAGCCATAATGAGACATCAAATTTACAATCAACATTG